TTCCAATCTGGGCTTTACCTGTAAAACTTTTACCTTTCATGTTCCTCTACTGGTTATAGGGTTTTCAGAGGTCTGCTTTTTAAGAAGTGGTAACCAATCCTGCCTCTTAGTCTATTTAATCTGAGAGCACAGCTAAAATTTATCCGTATTAGGGACACTTGTAGTATTTGACACACTAGTGGTACAGCTTTCAGAACCAAAGTAGCTCACATGTTATGTCAGTACAGCAAACTCACAGAAAAATGTTGTACTAATTAGAACAATGAATTCCCCAAATATAACAAATAACAATTTACTACTGTATCTCTAATAGAAAATCACGCATATTAATGTCATGTTACCAGATTCTGCTGTAGCATGGATAGATGTCGCAGAATGTTCTGCTGGGAGTTTGTTTAAGCATTTCAGATGATACAGCTGGCACACTGGGGTAAGGTCCTGCTCAAAGATATTAAGGTCACATGAAATTATGTGCTTAATCCTTGCCGCTAGTTCTTCACACAAGGCTTGAGAGCAGAAGACCTAGAGACTAATCTACTGCCAACCAAAAAAGTCTAACTTCTGGTCCCAAATTCTTCAAATAAGAGGCTCTCCGCCCTCAAGTGATTTTTGTCAAAAATGCCTGCCTGCTTTAAATAAGAGAATTTGGTCCCTCAAATGACAAAAGACCTGCCTTCTGGGTCCCAGTTGCCTTAAATAAGAGGGTCTAGGCCCTCAAACAACTGTTAAACAACAAGAGAAATATTCTTAGTATTTACTTATGTTGATTTACTGCTAAAAAAATATGACATCTTTCTTGTGGTACTAGATGCCTTACTTTCCTTATAAATTCTCTGGCAATCTTGTCACTCAGTTGAATTAAAATATTTAAATATTTTCAATATTGACAAGGATGACAATAATATGTGACATATATATTCTGAATGGAATTCATTGAAAGCAAGTCCTGTAAGCATCTTTCACATATAGATTACAAAAAAAGAAAGATAAGCCTTTGGGTAGAAATAAAAGTATTGTTGTTATTCTATTTAAAAATAACAGTTTTATGGAGAATATATAGTCATCATTGATTATATACATTAATACATATTGTTGCTGTTATTGATTACCTTTGAGTCAAGCAACAAAAGTCACAGTGACCCTATAAACAAAAGGCCCCTCTAAAACTATCAACACTTATCAAATTTCGTAGAGTTTCATGAGGCATTTGTTTAGGAAGTGGATGCCACTCCTGTTTCCAAAACTGTCATAGTATGTTATTGTTGTTATGTGCCATGAAGGCACCTGTGATGTATAGTGACACTATGCTATGTACAGCAGCTCTGAACCCTTCCCTGTCCTGAGCTAGTCTCACTAATTCTGACACATCAACCCTATTTCTCCAGTCACTGTATCACTCAATCTCATTTGGGGTCTTCCTTTCATGAGCTGTCCATCCACCCTTCTAAGCATGATGTCCTTCTCCAAAGACCAAGCTCTCCTGGCCACATACCCAAAGTATGTGAGGCAGAGCTCCAAAATCTTAGCCTCCAAGGAGAGACTTGGTTTCACCCTCTCCAAGACAGATGTATTTGTTTTCTTGGCAGTCCATGGTATTTTCAAGACTCTTTTCCAGCACCACAACTTGAAGGCATCTAGTCTTCTTCTGTCATCCTTAGTCATTGTCTAATACTCTAAAGCATAACAAATAATTGAGAAGACCATGGCCTGTATTAGATATGCCTTTGTACCTAAACTGATATGGTTGTTCTTCTGCACTCTGGAGAGGTCCATGGTGACAGCTTTTCCCAGTGCAACTTGTCTTTTGATTTTCTAACTTCTGATGTTAAGAGTGTTTATTGTGAATCAGAGCAAGCTGTAATTGCTAACAATGTCAATCTCTTCTCCATCTACTATAGTGCTACCAATTTGCCCAGTGCTGAGCATCTTTGTCTTCTTGATGTTGAGCTTCAATTCATATTGAAGACTATAATCCTTGACCTTTTGCAGCAAGTGCTTCAAGTTTTCTTCAGTATTAGCAAGCAAGGTTATTTGCATATCATAGGTTGTTTAATGAGTCTTCCTCTATCTTGATGCCACACTGTTATAGAACGGTGGTTGACATTGGGGTGGGGGTAAGACTGAGAAAAACTGGATAAATTATGTTTATTGCATTGAAAAAAAAGAATAGTTGCCTAATATATATGTATATATAAATTGCTGCAATTTAAATTGCATATGAATAATTAATGTTCTCTTCCACAGTCAGCCTCAATGCTTGTTTAGACAGCTGATAATGAGTTCTGTATTGTCTCTTTTTATAGATAAAACCAATTTGATACTTGTATATTCCTTTAGGTAAGATGCACGTATATAATTGTCATTTATGTTATTCTGGTTTTCTGTAAAAAGGTATGAGCAATGAATAAATTATTGATTGAAAAAAAAAAAAGAAAAGAAAACGAATCTGTTTTAAAAGCTCAGCCAAGATGCTCCTTAGGTTTGAGATTACCAAGATGACTTCAGGATATCAGGAGGGGTCAGACCTTGGAGAAAGATATACTTAGTAAGCCAGAGATTCAGCAAAAAAGAACACCCTTAATGAGATGATTACAGTGATTGTAGCAGTGGACATAAACACAGTTGATTGTGAGGGTGGTGGAAGGTCAGGTGCTGCTGGGTTTTGTAATACCTAGGGCTGTTAAGATTGAAGTGAACTTGACAGAACCTAACAACAACATCTTCTTCTGAAAAGAGGGCCCTGGTGACACACTGGTGATACACAAGGCTGCCAATCTGAAGGTTGATGATTCAAACCCACCAGCTAGTTCCTGGGAGGAAGAATAGGCCACTCAATTTCTGTAAAGATTATAGCTGTGGCAACACAAAGGGTTGGTTTCACTCTATCCTTTGGGATGCTGTGAGTAGGACTATGGCTTGCTTTAACAGGTGTTATCTTCTTTTCAAAAGAAAATATGTAAAAGAGAGCATATAAAGGAAATAGAGTGATTTATAGAATAATTAAAGCATGAATCAATGGGTTGTTTATAAAAGGCAAAAATACAATTTGGAATCTCTAGCCATGTAGTTTTTTGTTTTGTTTTCTCTAAGCTATAGATTATTTTATTCCTGGTTTAGAATGCACAATGCTGTATTGTGGTGATAAATTATTATTATATTAATTATCCACGGATGGTGGTATTTTGAATATAAATAAAAGTTTTTACTATTAATGCATGATATAAAATCTTAGTTTATAATGTCAGTGCAGAAGGGAGATACTGAAATAAGATTGAGTTAAGGTTAATATTTAAACAGAAATTGGGAAATAGGGAGGATTTGATGCTTAATAAATTACTGGACAATTGGGCACTTAAAATTAGAACAATATATTATCTGTAGAAATAGAATAAAATAAGTATTAGGGCCAAATCTACTCTGTTGGGTTTTGTAAATAAAGTTTTATTACAAACGGCCTTTGTTGTTATTAGGTGCCACGAGCTGAGTATGACTCATAGTGCCCCTGGGAACAAAAGATCTGAACCCAGTCCTGTCCTGCACCATCCTCACACGTGCTGACACACAGAGCTCATTGCAGCGGTCACCTTGTCAATCCACCTGGCTGAGGGTCTTCCTCTCCTTTGCTGACCCTCCA